TCCTAAGCCAAGATTTTGTTAAGCCAACTTAAAAAAACCATAAACAAGTTGATTAAGACGAGTTTAGTTAGATCAAAGCTTGGAAAACTTGAAGAGTTAGGATTGAAATTGGGTTAAAAAATCAATTCTCTAAAGTAAGAGTTCTTGTCTATTGGTCTTTAAATTAGAATGTTTATATGTAGTAATTGATGATTTTAAAGTTGAATTGGATTGGGTTTATTGTTTGAATAAAGAATTGAGTTAGATTAAAGTTAGGGTTTTGAGACCCATTTGGGAAAAAAATAATTAAGTTATTCTAATTGATTAAATAATGTTTAATTACTTTGGATAAGTGGCTTATGAAGTTAATTTGAAGTGGAATAGAGTAAATTTGATTAAATAGGAGGTTGAAGATAATGAATAGTAAAAAATCTAAATTTGGGTTTTGAATTGAAAAGGAATTTAGGAAAAATGAAGAATTAAGTTATATAAATGTAATTAAAGATGAATGGAATGACTATTGGTTGAATTGGAATGGAATTGATGATTTATTTGAAAATTGATTGTTTAAGAATTTAAATTAATATTGAGAAAAGATGATATGTGTGAAGGTTGGTTGAATTGAGGATTGATGATGGGATATAGTTAGGGAATTGTTTAGAATTGTTGGAAAAATTATAAAGTTTAGTTAAATTCATCATTTTCATTCTTCCGATCAATTCCATTTGTATGGATAATCTTGTGTTCCTATTTCTAGACTAATTCTTTTTTTTTTTTGAATTATTCTTTGATATATGATATTAATGGTTGTTCCACCATCTTACGTTATTAGATTCTTTAAAGCGATCGACTCCATCTCAACAACCTTGATTCCATTCAATTCTTTGATTGTATTATGAGTGTATATTATACAACATATTATGCCTTTAAATTTCTTTGATTATGTCTATTATCAAATATTGGTTTAAGTACAATTTAATCATATTTCTTAGAACTTAGACAAGAATTGACCCTATGTGTATTTGAACTGATTTCGTATTAACAATAGTTAGAATAGATTTATATGATTTTAAAAAGAGATTTGAGAAAATGTTTTACTTGCTTTGATATGTGATTATGAATTTGAATACAAATTTACTTTAAATTATTATTTTGATTATTCGTATAATTTTTGTAAATATTTATTTATTATGGAATTATTTTATCAATTTGATTTTGAGCATGCATTGTGTTTGAAATACTAAATTTGGAATATGTATAAGCTTATATGATTTTTGAAATGTTTTCATTACTTTAGAGAACCTAGCTATAAGGGACGTAGCCTTTGAACTCAATGATACGAGGTTCTAGCTAACGGGAGAGGTAGAGTGCTAGCCCATGTGTCGGTTAATATACAAAAACCTAGTCATAGGAGGTGTGACATTTGGGTGTTCGCATCCTATGATATGTTATATTCACCCTAAGGATTATAAAAACCTAGATATATGGTTTGATTTGATTATGATACACGTACACACACACACATACGTTTCGATGATTTGATATGAATTTTGAACCAATTAAATTACGATGTACAATTTGGTTCTATGATATGCATTTTTCTTTTCCTTATTATGTTATATAGTATCTACTCATTGAGCCGTTGATTTGCTCAAGCTCCACTATTTTAGTTTTATAGAGTTTGTAAGGGTGCCTTTCTAGCCTCCACTCAACTTGTTTTGAAGTCGGCACATTGACTATGCAACTTATTTTCTTGTAATCTCTTAGAACTCGTGTTTAATTTTGTTGTATTCTTAAAAGCTCTATATATTTATAGCTTGTAGGTGTTGTATTAGAAATCAATTATAGATATTGATTTGAGAAATACAAGATTAACACTAAATTATCAATGTGTTGAAGTTATAAAGTTATAACTATTAAGTTTGGATATTGTAAAATTAGAAATAATATTTAAGGTGATATTGGTTTGAGGATTATAGAGTAAGTATTCGAGGCTTGCTTGAGTCACCTCACGATTCCCTTGATTCTTGCACTAGTCATGGCCCACTCCTAGGGTTGTGACACAACCCATACTAAAAGATGTATATCTTGGATATTTTAAATCTCTTGGAATGTGTAAATTGTAACTTTATCATAATAATAAATAATTGAATTTGAATATTATGCTATTTTTTATGAATACAATTTGATGTTCTCTTATATATATATATATATACCGTGTGCATGTTGCTATGATAAAACTCAATTTTGAAAGTCATACATGTTTATGTTAGCTTTCTCACACATGTAATTGCATCTAATGTTGTTGGAAGTGAGCGAGAGATGAAACAAAACTTCTCTAACATTGTTAAGAGTAAGTAGAATGGAGATAAGATCAAGAAAGTATCATCTTAACATAAAATTAAGATTATATTGTTAACCAATGTATATTTTACAGTTGATTTAGAAAGTCCAATCTAAATAATCTGTGAAAGCTAGATTTGAGATCTCGATGATAATACATGTTGAAAGAAAACACCTTGAGAACATAGATTAGTCATTTGTGTCGACAACTCGGATTAAGATATGTATATCATGTATAAGACGTGACAACTTGGAACATTATAGCATATGATTCATACCACGTGTGCTAATTTGACAACTAAAGATAATGGAATAATGAATCCCTACTTCTCTACTAAATGAGATCTTTAGAGAAACAATAATATCCTTTAACTAATACCTTTATCACCTTTTACTGCTATTGGATATTTAGGTTTGGTGTTTGTTATCTTAGCTAGTTACTTATGATCGTGTATGATTCAATCTATAGAACTGGTCTAGAAAAGTAGTCAAATTCTGAATTAAGAATTTTGAGTAAGAAAGAAAGATATGTTAGGCATATTCATTGGCCAATTAATCCTTTCACTTGAAAGAAGCATCACTTGAAAATAGTGTGGATGTGATTATGAATATATAATATGAAATCGGACTATATTCGATTTAGAGATTTGATATAATGAGATATAAAACACAAGATATTGTTTGGGTTATTGCAAGATTTACAATATATTATATCTTATATATCATTTATTAATATTAGGTTGTAGTTACTATGTTATTCTTAAAATATGCATAGCAATAAGCTTCTAAAATGCAAGAATGCTCGTTAGGTCACACAATCCATTTGCTAGTATGAAAGTATACCTTTTTTTTGTTTTAAAATTGATATTGTAGAGAGCCTCGCTTTGAGTCTAGCCCATCATATGTGAGTATGAGATATTAAAAAAAAGAATTTGTGTTGAGTCGGCCATGACAAGTTGACTCGATAATAAAATTATTTTAAAAAATAATTTTAAATTTCAAACAATTGTTGTAGAGTTGAAGGAGCCAACTAATATATATATATATATATATATATATATATATATATATATATATATATATATATATTAACTCCCTAATTTTGAACTTTTTTTTTTGAATTTTTTTTATAAAATATTATAAACATTTTATAAAAAATATTTTTTATATAATTTATAACATTTGGGAGTCAACCCTTAATTATAATCTTTTTAATTTATAAAATATTTTTTTAAAGCTCGAATTTTGTATTGTTAATTATGTTTTTTTAACAATAGCATTTTATATTTTTTTTAAAAAAAATTCAAAATTAGGGAGTTAAAAATATTTATAAATTTTTTCTACATAATTTATAAATATTTTATAAGAAAAAAAGTTTTTTTAAAAAAAGTTCAAGATTAGGAGGTTGAAAATATGTTTTTTTTAAAAAAAACACAATTAACTTGTTTTAATATTTCAAGTAATGATCAATCTAGTTGATTATTATACGTAATAGAGATTGGATAATTTTGATCGCATTTGTCAAACCTCCAATACTTTAATAATTTCAATTGAGTAATTTGACACTATGAGTCTAGAATTTTTAAATCACAATAAAACGTGGATAAAATTTATCATTAAACCTAATATCATGATAGATATAAGAATATTATACATTCAATAAATGCGTCTGACTACTAATGCTTTTTGTGCGTCGAGTAGATAACGACTCCTTTAACATGCTGAATTTATATATGTTTCACAAAATAAAAATAAAAATGTTTCGATTGACACTGTTTTTCCTAAATCTGTTTTACTTTGGAATACAATTATATAGTATTTTATTCATAAACATGAGTTCAATAAATTGAATGTTATTTTAAGAAAATATGGGCAGAAATCAGCAAGGTTTTTTAGGCCCAAGATTGAATTATTAGTGACTATGTATAGATTGTGGATTGATTTCAAGTTATCCATTCACTTTGATCTTGCCGTGCCTCATTAGCATCTAATGTATACCTGCTGGGGGCCAGTCTTCCCTGTTGGTTCGAATAGATGTAACGGTAACTCTGTAAGTGTTTATATATATATATATATATATATATATGATAATTACAACTTTTCAAGTAGTGATATATAATTTATTAAGATTTCAAATTATATGAGATTCATATGGTGGTTAAGAAATTTTATTTTATTTTTTGAGATCAATGTAAAAAATAAATCCTATAAATTCTTTTTTAAAAAAATTAATCTCAATTTAGGTGCAAATTCATCCATTGATATTGCTTTGCTTTTGAATTAAAAAAAGAAAAAGAAAAAGGTGTCTCCTGAATTGGAATCTTCCATATTTAAGCATTTGGAGGTAGAATTAGGGCAAAACCTATGTTCCAGAAGCCCAAGCAATAGCCAGGCTCCAGCCGAGGAGTCAAGGGATGATAGGCCTAAGCCGTGGTTCTATTAGCAAAAGCAAACTTGTGAATATGTTCGTCACATCACATGTGGATCCATAAAACTTATGATCGACAGACACGTGTGAGAATATAACCATCGCAGAGTACTTGGGAAAGTCAAAACTCCAAAACAGCTGTCGATGATTCTCTTACGTCATGTCAATTTCCTTCCCTTCCATCCATTAGTTTGCTTCAACTCTTTTGCTGCTTCTTCACTTCCTTCTCTCTGTCTCTTTAGCCTGTTCCATGGCAAGCCAAACCTCGAAGAACCCAGAATCAGTCTTTGACTTCACTATCAAGGTTAGTAAGTAGTTCTTGAACCTTTTTGATCAGTTAATTAAATCCAAATGGCTTCTGCTTTTTTATAATTCTTAGGGAGTCTTTTTAAGTACTTGTAGTGCAAATTGCTTCCACATAGGTTTGTAACTGTAAAGAAAAAGGAAGTATTTCATTTTTTAAACCATGATTTAGTCCAAATACTAATATGGGTTGCTTTGCTTTTCCGATATGAATTGCTTCCCTTTGTTTCAATGCAGGATGCTGAGGGAAATGATGTGGATCTTAGCAGTTTCAAGGGAAAAGTATTGCTAATTGTTAACGTTGCTTCAAAATGGTAATTCTCATGTCATGTCTTTTGTAATTTTGAGTTGTTAAGATTGAACTTCGAATTTTGTTCTCTGGAGGCTGTACAAGTTATTAGTCTTGGTATTCCTTAGCCCCTAATTAATTTATTTAGTTGTCCATTAAGGTCCTTATTTGTTGGTTTGATTGTTTTTGGTTGTACAGTGGAATGACCAACTCAAATTACACTGAACTGAATCAATTATATGAGAAGTACAAAGATCAAGGTTAGCAACTTACGTCTCCTGCTTTTCATTATGTCACTAGGGTTAGCATAAATGTGAGTGGTATTCAGAAAGCATCATTTTCCTTGCATGTGAATCATATGCCTTTTTCTTTTTACATATCTCTAGGCATGTTCAGGCATGCCTGTCTTAGGCATTCAGTGTCTGTTACTTAAATATCAGTTCTTGTTTTACTTCTACCTTTCATTATGACATCTAGGTCTTGATGTCTTATTGCAGGGCTGGAGATACTGGCATTTCCTTGCAATCAGTTTGGTGAGGAGGAACCAGGAAATAATGATCAGATTGCAGACTTTGTCTGCACTCGCTTCAAATCAGAATTTCCCATCTTTGACAAGGTAAATGCTAGTTGTATGGAAGTTGACTCAAATAGGAATGCTCTTAATTCATCTGTTCGATTGACATATGACCCCTCCCGCCCATTTCAATACTCAATCTATTTCTCTCACATAGTGAAATGACCATGACTCGTGTGGCCTTAATATTTTAAACAAATAGCCTCCCTTTTCCCGCCTTTCCCTGCTAATTTTTTCAGTAGCCCATGCCAAGGATATTGTACAGAGGTTTTAATTAGTTGACAGATGGAAGTACATATTCCAATCGACATAGACATGTTTCCTTGTGTTGTAACAGCTGTGATACTTTTAGATTTTACCGAAGTCTGGTTCTGTGTGCAGGATTTTGGCCGTTTATTTAGCATCTGAAAGCTTGAAATTCTAATTTTAGTGTGAACTGTGCAAGATAGTACTATAATTTTTCTCCCATGTTTGTCCTTTAGATTGATGTGAATGGTGAGAATGCTTCTCCATTGTACACGTTCCTAAAATTGGGGAAATGGGGAATTTTTGGTGATGATATTCAGTGGAACTTCGCCAAGTTCCTTGTCAACAAGGATGGCCAAGTTGTTGATCGTTACTACCCCACAACTTCACCTCTTAGTCTTGAGGTAATAGAAAAATTAACTATAGTACCCATGTTTGAATCTCTATTTCATCTCAGCGCTGGCCTCTGTTGGGTTTATAGTGGGAAATCTCAATCCTTTTCATGTTATTGCAGCGTGACATAAAGGAACTTCTAGAGATCTCGTGATTTATTGGGGTATAAAAGGATTCAAAAGCGTACAAGAATCGAAGCATATGGTGTTCGGTTGCTCTATTCTATTGTTTATCAAGACTTGTGAAATATGTCGTGCAGAATATGACAAGTATGAGACATAAATGTTGCAAGATCCAGAATCAAACTCCTTGTATTTGTGTGCTCGAAAAATACACTTTGTTTCGTTGGTTGAGATCTTTTATTCCCCGGATTTGGATGTTACCAGTTGGTTTGGCTTTAGATACTCCTGACTTAACATGATATTGTTAATAATTTTATATTATGAGCATCAATGCTGATTTTGTTGGATACCCTTCACAGTTCACTCTTTTAGTGCATTTTTAGCTTTTATTTTTTATTTTTATTTTAGAACCGTGAATGAAGACAACTAACAAGAAATACCAATTTGGAGAAAAATTCTTCAAACTATGAAATTGTCTTTAGCTCAGAAAGTACCACGACAACTTTTCTTGGAACTTCCCACGTTGTTGCACTGCTGTTATACATTTCTTGTATGTTCCAGCTGAACAGGCTTATTACCTGGGTCCTTTTCAACCAGAAGTGTGAAAAGTTCGAAATAAAACAACATTGTCCTGCAGCAAAGCAAGATTATCGCAGAGCACAAAAAAGAAAGCAAATGGAAATCAAGTATCAGACCAGGGGACATCTATCCATCCCCATTCTTTGTCCTTGTCATTTATACCTAAAGCTTTCCGAACAGCTTTTGAGGCATCAACAATATTACTTGGGCAGGTTGGCTGGTAATCATGTTCATCATCACATCCCATAGTAGAGTCACAATGATTGACTGCTAACGCCTTAACGCTTCTTCCATTTCTTTTACTGGTGCTATGGTGGTGGCACCTTATCTTTTTGCTGAACCGTCCCACTGGAGAAGCCACCACAGGTGTGTCCTCGTGGGATGGTACTTACCATCGCATTCCCATTCTGATGGTACACCCCCATCTCCAGCCTCAACAATGTTCACTGTTAAAATACCCTTTGTTTGTGCAGACACAGGTGGCGAACGCTTGTAGGTGGTGTAAAATTTGCCTTCTTCACAGCATTCTGCGCCATTGTCCTGGTTACATTCATTTTTCGGAGGGTTCTTTCCCTTAACTTTTCCACTTGGCTTGCACTTTGTGCTTCAACCAATACACTCGCTGTGACAAGAAGTACAAAGAGGACTTGGAGATGAGTAATACTTCGGCAAACTTGCTTCATTTTTTCAGAAGCATGTCTTTTGACAGAAACTACCAAAGGGTGCCTCTTGGTTGTGAACATGTTGCTATTGTTGTGGAAGACAAAAAATCAACTGGATTGTTGGTGGATTTTCGTTGTGTTATCTGTTACATATTCAACATTTTTTGTCATTAGGTTCTAACATTTGTGATTCTTTTGTTGTTTCCGAAGATTCCTCGGACGGCTTACTGGGATTCAAATCTCCTTTTGAGACGAGCGGTTAGTTACGTTTATTAACAAAGGACAGTGAGAGCTTTAACATTTTCACCAATATATCTAATATTATCATACTATGCGTATTTTGGTTCCTTATGTTGTGTTTTGCAGCAGACACCAAGATACCAGTAACGCATCTTCCTCAGAGAACAGTAATGTTCGATGTCCTGATATAGACTGGGGCGTTTGGTAGAGGATTATAGAATTTCCACCCTGGATTTGAAGAATTTAAGCAATATTAATCGTGAGTTTATATTCTGAACCCAAGAGCAATCTCGAAGTCAGCAACTCTCTCCATTGAATTTTTCTGCTTTATACATGAACGAAGAGCTTGGTAACATCTTCCCTTTCAAACTGTAACTTAGAGAGTTCACAATACAAAAATAAGCAACGAAAGCTTTTTTCCCCCTTTTTGCAGTGATGTATCAACATTCTTACAAGAAGCACAACAGAGAAGACTGATATAAATCAAGCATCAGACCAGTTGATGATCCATCCAATCCTAACTCCCTTGTCCTTTTCATTTACCCTTAAGCTTTTCGAACTGCTGACCACAATGGCATGAAAAGCCATTGATACAAGCCTTCACGAGTTTTAAAAACACTTTTCCATCCATCTCCTGTCTTAATTCGGATTTGGTGTTATCCACTACCAAGATCAATTTTAGAAAACACTGAAGCTCCAACAAGCATGTCAAAGTCAAACAAGTCATCAATTCTCAAAAGAAAATAGGTATTATTTTGTGATCCGATTAATAGCTCTACTATTCACACCCATGCACCATCTACCATCTTTCTCAGGAGCAAGCAAATCAAGTACAACACAGTGATTTCAACTTTCTCAAGTACACCCCTTTTCTAACAACTCTAAGACCTGCCTATTATAACTTCAGTTTCTGATCTCATTCTTTTGCAAACTGAAGTAAGAAAATTTCTACCCTCCCGTTTCGAAGATTTTGCTAGAATTTCATCTTTCGATGGAAAAAGGACAAGTTCTCTATTTCCCATCCTAAAGGTGGAAGTTCGTTTGCGACCATCATAAATGGCACCCCTATCAAATTCCCAAGGCCTTCCTAAAAGAATATAACTAACATCTATGAGAAGAATATCACACATTCACACCACACTTTCATATTTATAGTTTTTGTCCATAGAAAAAGAAACAAGACAACGTCAAGTAACCTTTCAGATGATTCTCAGATCCCTGTCACTGTTATCCTCCTAGTTAATCCTTAAATGATCTTTGAAAGAAGTAATCCAACTTGTAAGGATCTTATAAGAACTACTCCGGCGATAGAATTCATCCGAGCTTCTACACTTGATCAACACTTAATTCCTGCCTTTGATCAGCATTTTGTCACCTTGTCTTTCTCGCTAGAGCTTATTTCTCGATGAAAAGCACAAGGTTATACACATGCCCCTTTCGGTGCTTTATGTCTTGCTCATCCTACCTTTCCTGGTCATGAAGGCATTCCTACTATCTCTCGCATCGCCATAATGAATACTAGATTTTCTAAGTACCGTCAGGCTTGTTTAGCCATATTTAAATCATAGTCCATGCAGGAAATCTGTTATTGTCACTCTGTACCCAAAATTTAATATTCTCTTACGGATATGTCTAGGGATGAACTACACCCTCAAACCGTTGAGCCCATTCGGAGTTGGAGCCCCATTTTTTAATCACCCAAACTGATGGTTCTGTGAAAATTTCTTTTGCTGATGACTCATCCAACTATCCAAGTCCTCCTAAACCACCGTTTTTTGTTGATGAGGTTATGGTGCTCAATTATGAGTTTATAGCACTCCTTTTCCCATCCGTATTTGACATTTTACTAGGGATGGCACTCCCGTTTATGAGCTAGCTCAAAGATGATGACAGCCATACATATATGGTATGATGCTGCCATTTGTTGTAGGGCTATACTCATAAAGGTAAGCTAGAAAATTTTTGCAGAAAACAGAGGAAGAAGAACTCAAGGATAGGCTGCAAATCTAAATGTATATTATTGAACCAAACAACTGTTTAAAAACAGAAATTAAGAGAAAACTGCTGTCCACCATGCCATTAACTAGCAGATCATCCTAAGTTATTGGAACTAACCATTTGCACTCCTAATTTGCTGCAATTAACAACGTGCAGAAAAAAAAAAAGGAAACAGTAAAACATATGTAACCTTGATTTTGTCTAGGCCTGTAACCAAGATTGTTTGCCATCTCATCAGCTTTTGCACATTCAGCAGTTGCTGTGACATATCTGTAATACTCTTCCTTGCATTAGTAGTTGCATACTCTTAGCTTCCTCCTCAAAAGCTCAAATCTACCTTGGGAAGTGCTTTAGTGAAAGTATCAGCTAACCAATCATAGGTCTTGCAATAAAACAAGCATACTTCAGCATTTTACTGAACTTCTCTGAAGAAATAGAACTTGATACTCAAATGTTTATTCTTTCCGTGGAAGACTTAATTGTTGGAGATTGCAATTACTACCTGATTGTCTATAAACACTTTAGTGTTTTCTTCTTGATTCATGTCCAAATCAGCTAGTATCTTCTTCGGTCATAGGATTTGATTCACAACTGCTATTGTAGCTATGAATTCTGCTTTAGCAGTTGATTAAGCCATAGTTTCTTGCTTCTTAAAAGTCCATGAGAACAATCCAGAACCAATGGTGAAGCAAAAGCCCGAGATGCTCTTCATGTCGTCTATGGATCCTAGCTAATCACTATAAAAAAAAAAATTATGAAAATTAAAGACATAACCACAATTGAACAACACCACATGATCAATAGTTCCTTTGACATATCTAAGTACGAGGTTTTGTGGCCTTTAGATGCTCCTCACTAGCACAATGCAAAAATCCCGACAACACACTCACGAGCTTGCAAAATATCGAGTCCGGTTTCGTGAGATATATTAAACGACCTATGAGGCTCCCGTAGATAGCCTCATCAATCTTTTCTACACCATCTTCCTTGTAAAGTTTCTCTTTTTGATTCATAGGAGTACTTATAGGCTTGCATCCTTTCATCTGAATTTTTTTTTTTTTTGAATTTCTTTAGCGTACTTTTTTCGACATATGAAAACACTTTGTCGATCTTACCTAATCTCTATTCCAAGGAAGTATGTCATTTCTCCTATGTCTGTCATTTCAAAGACCTTCAACATCTCCTGTTTGAATTGCTCGGTAAGGATAGCATTGCTTTCTATTACTAAGAGATCATCCACATATAAAGAAATTATCAAAATACTAATATTTGAGTGTTTAACATACAAAGTTGACTCACTAAGACTCTTTGTAAAGCCAAGACATAGCAAATGTTCATCAATTTCTGTTGTACCAAGCCCTTGGAGCCTATTTCAAACCATACAAGGCCTTTTTGAGCAACTAGACCTTGTCTTCGTATCCTTCTACTACAAATCCCTCGGACTACTCGAGCATATATTCCCTTCGTAAGTAGCCATTGAGAAAGATAAAATTTTACATCAAGCTTAAATTCCTTCCACCTTTTTTATGGAACTAATGCAGAAGCATTCGATTGTGTCAAGTCTTGCAACTCGGAGCAAATGTCTCTAAGAAGTCAATGCCAAACATTTGAGCAAATCTCTTTGGCACAAATCCGGCCTTGTGTTTGTTGATAGAAGCATCCGTATTCGATTTGGTTTTGAACACCCATTTTACTCTAATGACCTTCCTATACTTGGGATCTATTAACAAGCTTCCAAGTTTGATTCTTTTCAATTATATTTAACTCCTCCTACCTTGTAGCTATCCAAAGCGGATCCTTTTTAGCTTCATTGAATTCTGCTAGCTTAAATAGAGCAATGGTGCATCTTTGATATATATATATATATATATATATATATATATATATATATATATATATATATCGAAAGCAATCGATACCTTTGACAAGAGGATTATCAATTTCTTTACCTTATATTAGTAGAGAATTATCGAGTTGTTTTCCTTCTCTTCTTCCCGACACCATTGTTGCTCTTCTATAAAATGAACATCTCTGCTAGCAGAATCTTCTCAATTTGAGGTTGAAAATTTACGTAAGCCTTAGAGATGTTGCTTTAGCAAATGAAAATGCCAAGGTTTGCCTTCCTATCAAGCTTATCCTTTGCTCCCGAGGTATATAAGAAAAACACAAATACAACCAAAGATTTTAAAGCTCTTTGGAGAAGGTTTGTAGCCATACCAAGCTTTAAATAAAGTTTTCCCTTTTCTAGCCATTGTAGGCGGCTTATTTAACGAAGCATAACTATATTAGCTACTTCTACCCAAAATTTCTTAGGGAGCCCTTTACATTATTATTCTGTTGTTCCTCTCACTAATCCCATTTTGTTATGGAGTATAAGGGATAATGAGTCGACGTTCAATTTTGGCTTCTTTACAAAACATATTAAACTATTTTGATGTGTACTCTTTTACGTTATCCGATGTTAAGGTCTAAATTCTACGACCACTTTGATTCTCAATCCGGACTTTGAATTTCATAAACAATTTTATAAATTCTAACTTAAACATTAGGAAGTAAATTCAACACATGCTGGTTAGATCATCAATAAAAGCAATGCAAAATTTACTTCTTTATAATGATGGTTCAAGCGAAGGCCATAAAAGATTAGTGTAGTGTCGATCGGTTGCGGCTTCTCTAATGCTCATCATGTAGTATGTGAGGAAGGAAGCCTTGTTTGCTTGTCATATTAACATGCTCTACAGACTTGACAAAAATTCATCTAGTGATGGTAGACCTTGTACAAGCTCCAATTTCTTCATCGACAACAAAGTTGCATGATTAACATAGCCCAACCTATTATGTCAAAGCTCGGATGTGTTGTCCGAGTTAGGATAGGTAACTTCGCTCCTCTAATAAGTCCAATATCTAATAAGTCCAATATGAATGCCTTGCCCCTTATTTTCACCTTAAATAATTTTTATCCTTTTACATCCTTAATAAGACACATTTTATCCTCAAATAGAATTTTGTATCCCTTTCCCAAAAGCTGGCCAACACTTAAGAGATTTTGATTAATTTCGGGAACATAAAGAACATTAGTGATTATTTTAGTACTTAAACAACTTTTCATCATATGTCATATGATTAGTGCAACCACTATCAATCAACTAACTTTCACTTAAATGACTAGTGGCAAAATAGGTTGCCACAAATAACCGTTCTTCTTCTTGTTGATCTTTAACTTGTGCCTCTGTTTGTTATGGCTAATTTCTATTCTTGCGGATCTTTGCATCGTGGCCTAGTTATTTACATTTGTTGTATTTAACATCGAGCCTTCTCCAACACTTGAAACATGAATGACTTCTTTTTCACGGTGTTGGCATGAAGGATGACTTTGCTTGTTATTATCTTCATTATTACTCGTTATTATTTACGTAATCTTAGTCGACATAGTTTTTCTTTCCTTTTCCACCTTTATTTATTTGCCATTTATCTTGTAGAGCACCATCAATTGAGTCTTTCTCGCCTCATAAGCCTTTTTTGCTCTAAGCTTGCAAGGCATTTAATAATTCTCCTAAGGTAATACTTGACGGATCTTTAGAATTTTCCATGGAGAAATTGTTGTCTTAAACCTTTTTAGAAAACTCAAATGAAATTTTCGAACAACTCTAAAATCAAAAAAATGTAGTTCCAAGCAATCATACCTTGTTGACAATGCTTAGAAGTCTATCGAGCATACTCTTTTACTATTACTAACTCCTTCATTTTCGACATCTCAAGTTCCCCGATTAGACTCGGCATTTGCATTCCTTCAAATCTCTCATTGCCTTTATACTTTTGCTTAAGAAAGTCCCGGATGTCCTTTGTTGTCTTCGGGGTCATAATCCCGGTAAAAATTATTAGTGAGATAGCTAAAAATAAGCAAGACTTTACCTTTGATTTCTTTTTCCTTTTTTCCTTGTGATTCTTAAGTTGAGCAATAGTTGGGTTGTTTGGCAAAGAAGGAACTTCGTATTCCTCCTCTACAACTTCTCAAAGATCACTTACATCAAGGTATGCCTCCATTCTAACCGTCTATACCTGAAAATTTTCTCCTTGAAAGATTGGAAAAGTAATAGTAGTGAAACGTGTCTCGAATCCATTGTTTGTTAAAGGTTTTGAGTAACAAGTTTGGTTTGGTTTTTGAGTGTGGTTTACCTCAATTCTCAAGGTCCATCAATAAAAATATAACTATGATACCAATTATAGAACCGTACTCGAAAGATAAGCCGGAAAAGTTTTACAAAAAATAGAGGAAAAAGAACTCAAGGATAAGTTACAAATCTAAAAGTATATAATTGAATTAAACGATAGGTGTAAAATGTATACAATTTTTATGCCCTTTTACATTAAACTTACTAGTACTTATTGTATTAAATTAAGGTAATTAAGAATAAGATAACAATTTTGGATTTTTATGAAAAAAAAATAGCAAATTGGAATGAATAAACCCAAAGCAAAGTGTATAAGAAGTCAAAGCCACAAAGGAACCAAAGAAGACAACGTCGTGTGGCCTATAGAAGGAAAAAGCTATTGGTCGTGTGAAATAAAAAAGGAAACCATGTGGATGTTCAACAAAAAAGACACATGTATAATAACAATCAACACGGCTTGAGCGGAAGAAGTGACACATCGGTGTGTATCAAGGCTGAGATATTTTTGAAGATTTTGCTAGAATTTCATCTTTTGATGGAAAAAGGACAAGTTCTCTCTTTCCCATCCTAAAGGTGGAAGTAAGATTACGACCATCATAAATGGCACCCTTATCAAATTACTAAAGCCATCCTAGAAGAATATAACTAACATATGTGAGAAAAATATCACATTCACAACACACTTTCATCTTTATAGTTTCAGTCCATAGTGTTGTCAATATAGTAAGTCAACTATACGGTTGCCAATTACAAGGTTGATTGGGGAACCGATTTATAGGAAGTTAATGACAACTTGATTCTAGGGATTTAGGTTGATCCTAGACCTATATATATATATATATATATGTTGTACTCAAGCACTTCGAAGTAAGAAAATATATTATTCTATTCTCATATTTCTACATAGTATCGTAGCCGGTGCCTTAATTGAGCAAGTGCCATTGTTGCCCGGTAAGTTACCTCGTTTTTTTCTTTTCTCTTTCGTTGCTCGCCTTAAGCCGTCATGACCTTGATGCCTTATTTTTTTCCTTTCTTTTTTTTTAATGGTCGATTAAACGATGAAGAAAATTGTGATCTTTGATGTTATTATTATAACAACAAAGATTACATCACATAAACTCAACGAACAAATTTTTTTAGATTAAAGTAAAATGGTATGCATGTATCTCCAAAGTATTGATCAAGACGATTATCTTACTAATGATCCCCCAACCGATGATGTGGAAAAGAAAGGTTGGTTAAGAGAAGATGCTAGAATATATTTGCAAATTCAAAACTCTATTAATAGTGAGGTAATTGGTTTGGTTAATCACTCGTGATTTTGTTAGGGATCTTATAGATTATTTAGCGAGTTTTATATTTTGGTGAGGGTAATTTTTATCATATTTATAATGCATGTAAAGAGTTCTATCATCTAGAAAGGTAAGATATAACCTTTACCGAATATTTCATGAATATTAAATGGGTTTATGAGGAGTTGAATTCTCTCCTTCCTTTTGGTATTGATGTGAAGGCCCAATAATCTCAATATGAACAGATCGTTGTCATGAGTTTTCTTATAGACCTACCACTCGAATTTGATGATGCTCGCACTCAAATCCTTTCTAGTCCAAAAGTTGTATCTCTTCATGATACCTTCACTAGAATTTTATGTATAGAGACATCTCAACCTTCTCTTTGTATTACTAGTGCCCTTGTAAGCCAATTTAATTGGAATACGGGAGGTTAAGGAGTTCGAACTAGAGTGGTACTTATGAAGGAAATGGCAGATCATGGACGGAATGATCAAAGTAGCCCAATAACATATTTTTACGGAGACCCTAGTCATACAAGATATACATGTTAGAAACTTCATGGAAAAACCTAAAAGTCGGTTCATACTCGTAAGCTTTGTAACCCAAAAGGCTAGTCCCGCCTCTTCCTCATCCGAGAAGTCTATAGTGGTGTTTGCTAATGACTTTACTTAATTTACTCGGTATCAATCCTCACTAAAGTTTTTCAACCCATCTTTAGCTACCGGTGATGAGACAAGTAAACCTACTATATGTCTTGTGTCATCTTTTTCTAAATGGGTCATTGATTCAAGTGCTACGGATCACATGATATGTAATAAAGATATTCTCTCTTCCTTTGTTTCACACAAAAATCTTCATAGTGTCACTCGGTCGATGGGTCAACTACATCCGTTATAAGAATTGGAATAACTCTTTCTACATCATCTCTCTCTTTTTCATCTATATTATGTTTACCCAATTTTTCATTTAATCTATCGTCATTTAGTAAAATCACTCGGGTAGTTATTGTGTTTTATTTTTTTCCTAACTATTGTTTTATTTTAGGATCTTATGCTTGATGAAGATTATTGGTAGAGGACGTGAGTCTGCAGAGGTCGTATCATCTTTAACATATATCATAACCTATACCTTAAGCTATCACTTATTCTAGTATTATAACACCTCTTGAGTTGCATTGTCGATTAGGGCATCCTTTTTTGTTTGTTTTAAAGAAATTGTTTACTTAGTTTCGGAATTTATCTCGCTTTAGAATGTGAGTCATGTCGGTTTACTAAACATCATCGTGGGTCTTATTTTTCTAGATTCAATAAACGAGTTATGTCACCACTTTGAGTTAGTCCATTTTGATGTTTTGAGTCCTTGTCTAGTAACTTCTACAACTAGTTTTTGATATTTTATCATATTTATTGATGACTATTCTCGTGTTACTTGGTTATATTTAATGAAAATTTGATTTGAATTGCTCTCTATATTTTCTCGCTTTTTGTGCTGAAATTCAAACTCGGTTCAATGTTTCGAGTACTTGTTTTAAAGAGTGATAATACGAAAGAGTATTTCTCTAAGTCATTCAATACTTATATGATACAAAATAAAATTCTTCATCAATCATCATGTATTAACACGAGTACCTCAAAATGGTGTTATTGAACAAAAAAATAGACATTTACTAGAGGTTGCTAGAGCCACTTCTTTTCTAGATGAAGGTTCCTAAAAATTCCGAACCGATGTTGTGTCTACGAGCATGTTTCTTAATCAATCGATTACCCTCATCCGTTCTTTTTAGTGATACTCCTCATTCTATTTTATTCCCTTCTTAGTCTTTATTTCCAATTGAACCATGTGTCTTTGGTTATACGTGTTTTGTTCATGATGTTAATTCCAAAGTGTCTAAGTTAGATCTAAAATCTCTCGAGTGTGTCTTTTTAGGGTATTCTCATCTTCGGAAAAGTTACATGTGTTGTTCTCCTACTTTGCGTCATTATTTGATTTTAACCGATGTAACATTTTTTGAGACTACTCCATTTTTCATAAACCTAATACATATAATTATGAGGGGGAGGAAGATGATATTCGATATATACTATGGCTACAAATACTTGAATCTCATATACCCATTAAGCCATATATCACTTCGGTTTACTCTTGCCATACTCATCCATGAGATCTACAACCAAATCAAGACTCACATTATCTGCAGGCTCTTATTTTATAGATCTCGGTCTTGATCTTTTAATTGCTCTTCGTAAAGGTAAACGACAATTTTCTCATCCTATTTCTTCATTTACTTCTTATGACCACTTATCTCTTCTTTTTTGTGTTGCTTTATTGCTTTGTTAGATTTGGTTTCGTACCTAAAACATTGCATGAGGCCTTATTCCATCCTAGTTGGTGGACTGCATGGAGGAGAAAATGATGGCTTTAGATGATAATGGTACTTAAAAATTGGTGCATCTCCTAAACGATAAATAGGCTATTGGTTGTAAATGGGTGTATGTTGTCAAAGTTAATCCCGACAATTCTATGGCTCGTCTCGAAGCTCGATTAGTTACAAAGGGTATACTTATACATATGGTGTAGATTATTCTAAAACTTTTTCTTCGGTTACCAAACTTGCATCCGTCCATTTGTTTATCTTTTTACTGCTACTAATGGATAGCTCTTATATCAATTAGATGTCAAGAATGCTTTCCTTCATAGAGATTTGCAGGAGGAAGTCTATGTGGAGCAACCACACGGGTTTGTTGCCTAAGGAGATTATGGGAAAGTTTGTAAACTTTGGATGGCTCTTGCATCAATTGCCAAACTTGCATCTCGTTCATTTGTTTATCTCCCTTATTGCTACTAATGGATAGCTCTTACATTAGTTAGATGTCAAGAATGTTTTCCTTCATAAAGATTTTTAGGAGGAAATCTATAAGGAGCAACCACCTAGGTTTGTTGCTTAAATGCGGTATGGGAAAGTCCGTAAACTTTGGAGGTCTTTGTATGGGTTAAAATAAAGTTCTCGTGCTTGGTTTGGGCAACTTAATGTTGTAGTTCAAGAATTTAGTATGAAAAAGAGTACTTGTGACTATACTCGTCTTCTACCATGGTTGAAAACCGACATTGTCTTTTTAATTGTACGTGTTAATGATATTGTGATTACTAGTAGTGGTGATGCTTGGTATTTTAGCCCTTAAGTCTTGTCTCCATACCAAATTTTAGAAAAACGACTTGGGTTTATTAAAGTATTTCTTGGGTATTAAAGTTACCAAGTCCAAAAAGAGTATTTTTTCTTTCTCGACAAAAAGTATATTCTTAATCTATTGAAAGAAACTGAAAAATTAGGAGCTAAACCTTCTAGTGTACTAATAGCTACTAATCTATAACCTATAACGAGATGATGAGAAGTTATTTTTTGATCTCGAGAGATATCGCGGAGTTAGTTAAAAAACTAAATTATCTTACGAGTAACTTGTCACGACATTGCACATCCTATCGGCATTGTGAGTCGGTTTATGTCATTTTTTCTAATTATTCATTAGGTAGCATTTTGACTTAGGATTAATTTTGGCAAAAAAATAAAAATCTTAGGAGATAAATTTTTAAGATTAAACCAAGTGATATTTTTTGGGAAATGACGTCTTTAAGCGATTGATATTTTTTCAAAACATAACTAACTCCTTATCTAAAAATCTCTAAATCGAGTGTCCATTTTAAGTTTTTTGTTCCAATAGATGGTGACTTCAAAATTAATAAATAACTTTCATTTTTAAATAAACCAGGTTTTCAAGAAATAAATCATAAATAAATATTAATTTTTGGGAGTCTTGGCAAAATTAGGTAGTGACAGGTAATACGCTAGCTATAGCTATATTTAGAAATGACAATGAATTCCAACGACATGAAGATCATCAAAACGAATCTTTGCTTTCGTCCAAAGAAATAGCAAAATCATAAATTTTGAGGCCAGGATCATAGGGGGTGTCGGTCAGCGTGTCAAAGAAGGCCAACGTGAATTTCAAAGATGCACAAGTGAAGGATTATCCTCGAAACATTAGCATGTTGTCATCGCAACGAACTTCTTTTCATTTTCAACCTGAAAAGAATTGGATGAATGATTCTAACGGGCCATTGTATTACAAGGGCTGGTACCACTTTTTCTACCAGTACAATCCAAATGTTGCAGCGTGGAATGACATAGTTTTGGGCCATGCCGTATCAATCCACTTTGATCCATTAATGGGTGCTGATGAATGGTTTGATATGAATGGTGCATGGACTGGCTCGGCAACAATTCTTCCTGATGGTAAAATTATCATGCTATACACTGGATCCATTAACGAGTCAGTATAGGTACAAAATCTTGCATGTCCAGCTGACCACAACGATCCTCTCCTTCTTAACTGGTTCAAATACTCTGGCAATCCAATTGTAGTCCCACCACCTAGCATAGGTACCAAGGACTGCCATGGCCCAACGACAACTTGGTACACTTCTAAAGGGAAGGGGCGGATAGCAATAGGGTCTGAAGTTAATAAACTGGCATAGCTTTAGTCTATGATACTGAAGACTTCATTAACTTTAAGTTGTTAAGTGGGGTGCTTTATGGTGTCCCTAGAACTGGCATGTGGGAGTGCGTGGACTTTTACTGTGTCAAAATGGATTGGATACATCGGGTGATGGTCCCATATTAAGCATGTGGTGAAGACAAGCCTCGATGATGGAAGGCATGATTACTACGCCCTTGGGACATACGATGACAAGAATGGAAAATGGTATCCACATAATCTAGAGATTGATGCTGGTATGAGAAATAGGTACGATTATGGAATGTTCTATGCCCCCAAGACCTTTTATGATCAGGATAAAGGAAGAAGATGGTTGTGGGGTTGGGTTGGGGAGTCTGATACTGAAACTAATGATGTAAAGAAAGGATGTGCATTTCAAGGACTATTTTGTTGGATACAAAGGCTTGCAGCAATCTGCTTCTATGGCCAGTAGAAGAGGTAAAAAGTTTGAGATTAAAAGGCAAGGAATTCAACAACATAGAGCTTAAGGCAGGGGCAGTTGTGCCGCTTGAACTCGATGGAGCCAGCAGCTAGACATCGTTGTTGGGTTTTAGTAACAAAAAGGCTTTTGAGAATAGAGAACACAGCTAAATCCAATGTTGACTACAACTGCAGCACCAGTGGTGGGGCTGCTCAACGCGGTGCCTTAGGACCATTTGGTCTTCTGGTTCTTGCAGATGACAGCTTAGCGGAGCACACTCCTGAATACTTCTATGTTGCTAAAGTAATTAATGGCACCCTCAAAACTTTCTTCTGCATTGACCAATCAAGTTCATCTGTCGCAAACGACATTAAGAAAGAAATTTATGGAAGCTACGTTCCTGTATTAGAGGGTGAAAAGTACTCTGTTAGGATACTGGTGGATCATTCGACAGTTGAAAGTTTAGCTCAAGGTGGTAGGACATGTATCACATCGCTGGTTTATCTGACAAGGGCAATCCATGGTGCTGCTAGGTTGCTTTTGCTCAGCAACGCCATTGAGGCTAGTGTCACCTCCTCACTCAAGATATGGCAAATGTATTCTGAGTTCATACGCCCTTATTCTAATGAAGAACGGTAGCTGATAACTCTAGTTTTCCTCACTTGTATCCATTTGTACCATAGTTTTCTTTTCTCTTCTTTGTAATCCTTTTTACCCAATTTTTGGTTAAAGTTTCCACCTCATTGTATTCCATTTTTTTGCCGTCAATGGGAAAGGTAAAATGCAATATGATTATCTTGAATTTATTCCTTTTTTTAACCTCGATCCAAGCAGTCTTAGAATCACTATTGTTATCATTTCCTGATGTTCCAGAGGAACAGGCTTATTAACACCATCACCATCCTTTTCAACCAAAAGTGTGAAAAGTTGGAAACACAACAACACTATCTTGCAGAAAAGCAAGCTTATTACAGCTTTCATGCATAGATTATCTATTAGCAAAGCACAAGAAAGAAAGCAAATGGAAATCAAGCATCAGACCAGGTAATATCCATCCATCCCCATTCCTTGTCCTTGTCATTTACACCTTATACTTTCCAAACGCCTTTTAAGGCATCAACAATATTATCTGGGCAAGGTGGCTGGTAATCATGTTCATCATCACATCCCATAGTAGAGTCACAATGATTGACCATCAACGCCTTCACGCTTCTTCCATTTCCATTAATGGTGATACGATGGTGGCACATCTTCTTGTTGCTGAAGCATCCCGTTGACAATGCCACCACAGGTGTGTCATCTTCATGGTACTTATTTATTATCGCATTCTGATGGGTCACCCCATCTCCACCCTCCTCAAAACTGTTTACCGTTAAAATTATTTTTGTATGCATGGAAACCGGCGGTGAACGCTTATAGGAGGTGTAAAATCTGCCTTCTCTACAGTATTTTGCGCATTTGTCCTGGTTGCGTTTATTTTTCGGAGGGTCTTTCCTTCGAATTTGTCACTTGGCTTGCACCTTTGTGCTTCAACCAATATACAATGCTGTGACAGGAAGCACGAAGAAGACTAGGAGATAAGTATTACTAGGGCAAACTGGCTTCATTTTTTCAAAAGTACGCCTTCTTGCAGTGATGCTGATTAGTTAGTTATGTAGCGTACAGAAAGTGCATAATCTGAGAGTATATATAGAAAGAGTGGGGCTAAAAGGACAAGAGCAGGCAGAAACTACCAAAGACTGCCTCCTGTTTCTGCGATTAAGGTTTAGGAGGTCTTCTACAATTTACGGGTGGAAAATAAAAAACAAATGGATTGATTGGAGAATGGAGATTATCATTGTGGTGGCTTGTAAATATTCCACATACATGGTCATTAGGTTCTATCATTTGAGACCCTTTTGTTGTTTACGATGATTCCTAGGAAGATCCACCTCGGTAATCTCCTTTGGACACTACAATTTGTTTTCAAGACACTCGGAGCCCAAATCTCCTTTAGACACTACAACTAGACACCACAATTTCCTTAAAATAGAAAAACAACAATAATTACATAATATAAAGATTTTATATAGATTGAAAATAATATCTACTCCATGATTACACTGAAATTTTTTAGTAGGTTTTATCAAATGATAACTACAAATGTAAATGATATTATTTTTATTTATAATATGGACAATTAGGCTTTTAAGAAAAAAAAAACCTAACATGCTTATACACTTAACCCAATATTTTCCTCAGACCTTTAAAGGCTCCACCCCCAAACCTCCACAAAGGATGCTACCTCCGTAACCCCCAATTGCTAACCAGCTAGCAAAACCGTCATATTAGTTCCATATAGCACCTTTTACTTCAAACCCCCACCTACGTCAATCTCCACAACTAAACAAACAACCTCACCATTATATTTAATACCACTATCCTATGCATGGATTAATTCAGACCAGTATACTTGAGGGATGGTGTTTTCTCCCTGATTGACAAAATCAAATAATAGCCATCCAAATTCTGTCATATGTCAAGCAACATATAGGTTTCTCTCATAAAGAATTAATCTGGGTAATGCTTACAGGGAAATACCTGCCAATACTCGGCTAAACTAGAAATGAGTTACAAGATAAACCAAAGGTCCAAAGAATAGCAGCCATTGTTTGCTTGAAACAGGGATTTACGCTTCTTTCTGCTACAGATTAATGCTTTTACATGGAAATTTTAGCAAAGTAAAAGGTCCATTGTCACTTGAAAATGTTAAATGATGACTTCTTGTACAAACTACGTTAGCACAAACACTGTCCTTTAGTGGGGAGAATTGGATTCATAATTCACAAGATCGGATACATTTACAACAACAGATATGTACAAAATTGCCATGAGTCTGTTGCAGCAAACAGTCATCCTCGAGTCAAGTCAATATCAGTGTGTGGGTTTCTCATATCAACTGGCCGTGGACCAGGCCAAACACTCATGGGAGAGGGAGTGAAACTTTGAGGTGGCATGCTGGTAGGGGTAACTGATTTCAGGTTAGCTGAATTATCATCAGGCTGAGGTGCAGAGTCTTTATCGTTTTTGGGACGGCCTACTTGTTTATCCTTCTTAGAACCACCATATAAAAAACTACAGACCACAACCTGCAGCAAGCCAAGATTCATTTATCATTTTATTAACACCCCATGGCTAGACTGATAAGCAAAACTATATAAAGGTTCGTAAAAAGTCCACAAATACCGAAAGGGATATATATTTACTGGTAATTTCAAAACCAAAAAGGATAATCCAACAGGCAGAAGATTCAATGCCAAATAATCTCAAATTTCAGTTAATTAGACCATTCTGTTTTTACCAGGTTCAGTATTATATAGATAATCCGATACACAATCACTATTATATATCATAAAGTAAGCATTTTCTACATGCACTTTGATCACCCATAACAACCATCCAGAGTGAATTCAGTATGCTAATCCCAAAAACAATGCTGCACCCTTCATATGCATGCAAAAGATGAACCGTGATTTTTGCATGCCATTCTACCATATACTGAGCGTGATGTTTATGATTCTGCCCATTTCCCATAAACCTGAAGGTCTGAATTGCTATTAAACAGGTTTGAGCATTGACAAACTTCACTGTTTTTAGCACATGACACATGTTAAGGAAGAAGATATGGACTTTCAGTAATATTAAAGATCATAAGCGGAACATTAACATGGTATGAGCAATGAAAGGTACGATAGAATTCAAAGCATCAAAATAGTACCTGAACCGGGCTGGCCGCAATAAGCATTGCAATTGCACCACCAATGACATGGCCATCAGGACTAGAAAGAGAAGCACTTATACCACCAGTTCGGTTACGAGGCCCACCATCATCAGCAACCAAGTAAGAGCCTGACAAACATAATATCTCGAAACGGCCCTATACAGGTTAAATATTGTAAATCAGTTCCTTCTTGCTGATAAGACACGGTTAAAATAATAGGTGCCTGAGCAGAAGGAAAAGGGAAAAATGATCAACCAAGTTCCAATTATACAAATTTTGAAAGGTTCATGGTCAAGCAGCTTTTGTGCAATGCAGCTCATTTTTCATCACTATGATAAATCATGAAATGTCATTTGACCAAATGCATTTTCAGATGGATCCAACTTGAGTTCCACCAGCATATCAACCCTTATTTAATCCCTTTAGACCACAACACTCAGCACCCACTTAAATCCACTACAAAAAGTGTTTGCCAGTCCTGAAACTAAACAATCCAATGTGGTCAAACATATGGCAATACTTCAAAAGACCACCTTAAAAAATCATCACTTTTTTTACATTAAATCTGCCAAATATCTAAATTTACTTCAATCCACTGGGAAATGGCCATTGAAAAAGGACATCCTTATTTTTTAACGAAAATAAAAAAGCATTTGCCCCCCTGGAACTTGCTGAACAAGTAACTGTGGTGATGCAGGACAGTTTTGGGGGTTGTTCTGAATCTAACATAGGAGGCTGTTTAGGTCTACCATCCAAAGCAAATTACTGGAATTTTATTAATAAACTTCTATTTTATAATATTGAAAGACTACAAACTTATTTATAGAGTTCTAGTAGTCCAAATCCAATGAGGACTTAGATCTAAATAAGAAAATACTAAGTTTGTGTAGAATAGGAAAAAACTAATAACGCTAATTACTCTTTAGGACTAATAAAATACAAACTAGAAAATAGAACCAGACTTAGAAAATTTCCATACATTTCCAAAAAAATTACAGAAACACCCTTGTCTAAAAAGACAGCATTTGCTTCCTTTGTTGTCCACATCATGTGGCTAAACATGTAGTTATCCCTCAAACTACCACAAATGAACAACCTTGAAGCCAGGAATTACCATCCTATCTCTGCCAGCATTAACAAAACTTGACAAATGCTTGCTTCTTGTTTGGATTTTGGAACCTTACACCCAAAGTTCAAAGTAACAGTTAACCACTATTTCCAAATATTCACGCCAGGTATGCACTTTTGTCTACGTTAGAGCCAATATATGATTATCCATGCCCGAAGCTTAAAAAAAATGATAATCGAAATTGGTTTTGATATCTGAACTTATGTGCCACATTAATTGATATTTCAATAATTTGAAACTAATGACATGCTTCCTTATAACGACATTAGAATCATAGCCCAAAGACAGTTTGCTATCCATGTAATCAAAGGCATGGAAGTATGAAATTTATTACCAGCTTTAGAAAGATCACCTACTAGATAAAGCATATGCCCAATTATGTTCCATATTCAAATCCCCAACCTTAAAATAAAAAGTTCCAACCCTTGCCTTTTATCAAATTCAAATAGATCTAATCTTCTGCTAATACACTTAAGCTTCAACTTATTTTCATCCAATGCATAATTGTCTCCAGATTGATTTGAGTCCCATCTTTTTCTCTTCTTTTTTTTTCCATTTCCACCAGAAACTTACCATTCCCTGTTTCTTCTTGCATTCTACATACAAATATTACTTAAAATTCATTTATTGATTTCTTGGTTCTGATTTCCCTTGTGGAACCACAAATCCATGAGTTAACAGCTATTACATTGTTTGCAAACGTTCTCATGTTTTCAGTGTTTTAACAATTAACAAAAGAACTAAAAAAATATCAGGAAGCTAGACATGCTCAAATTCAAAAGCAAGTATGGAATGTATCATGTCGGTACATTACCATATCAGAAGATGAGAAAAGAGCTAATATACAATGAATCAAGTCAGAAGCTTGTGAGATTCTTTTAAAACTTCCAAGGAAAAAAAGAGAGAAATATAAGTGTGGCATGCTGACATCACATCCAATTTCAGATCAACATTTTCAGCTAAATTGAGCAAAGGAAGCTAAGGCACTCCAAGGAAACAGTTATAATTTTGAGAAATATCAAAAGTTATGTTCTGCTTTAACCTCGTATGTGATAGAGGGCCCAGAAGATGCTGGCTGACGGAGTGTTACTGAGGAAACTGTGCCAGTGCCGGACAAGATGCAAACAGCCCTTGGCCTCTGTTGGGAAAATGACAATAGCTTTGAAACAATATCCTACAAAGAACAACATAACAGGTTTCAAATCAACATGAAATTAGGAAATTAAGCAACTTCATGAGTGCAACTGCATGTATGTGTGTGCATGCATGTATGCACAGAGTTTCTCCATTGATATATGCATTTTTATTTCAAACAATCTGTTTAAATATTTCTTATAGCTACACCAGTTACATACAAGACAAAACACAGACTTGAAAAAACATTAAGCTTCAATGTCAGGGCAAGTATCTTAATATTGTTATCTCTGCCCCTCCAAAAGTGCGAGAAAACCTCATGCATTCAATCCCCTAGATGTTAAGACCAGCTTCTTTCATATTAACAAAAGCATAAATGTGGCCAGTAAAATGTGTTTCTTGGAGGAAAACCTTCAAAGTTAACTGAATGTTGATCTAAAAAAGTTGAACTTACAACTTAATTACATATCAAATGTCCAAAAAATGTGAAGTTTCAGAGGATAATAGCATACCTCTCCAACTCCAATGCTGATCATATGCGGTGAAAAAGCTTGACCAGCTGAACTATTCATCCACTCACCTTGCAATATCAATTAAAAACATTATAGAAATTAAATGAAATTGACAAACCTTAGATACATTAAAGACTAGACAAATATCAAAATAAAATTAGACGTTAAAGACAGATTAAAACTGCTTGTAGACAAGAAGCATTTAAAAGGAGCAATTGACAAATGGTATCAGCTTTGAAAAAATGGAGCAAGGCAAAGGAATGGATAAAAGGTTAGCATGTGTGTCTAAGCAAAATCATGATAATAAAAGCAAAACATTGCAAATCAAATACTTTGTTGAAAGTAAAATGCCAAGATCACCATAGAACACAATGCATTACTTCCCAATATCAAGCAAGTGGAATTCCCTACGCAGAAGGTGCATTCTAACCTCTCATTAAACAAAATTAAATGCAATTAAGATATCATATTAATAACTTGTAATAGCATATAACAACAAGAATAATGTAATTCAAATACTGACCAAGAGTAGCCAATTGCTGCTTCCTTCCACTCCCAGGAGGCCGCCCTCTATTTCGTTTCGGGGTGGAAGAATCCTCTCCTGAAGATGGCTTAGGCTTATCTGGCAAGGGAGACAATCCAAGAGAAACCTGCCCATCCATGCCGTATTTCCGGGGCCTCCCTCGCTTCTTCTTCACTGGCTCACCCACTTGCACCTCAGAGGTTGCAGCCATGTCAATGGCATGACCAAAATTGACATTTGGGGGCTCTATTGAAAATGCTGGCACAGGTGAACCAAGCCTGATATTTGATTGAGCAGCAAAGTGAGGGCTGGTCAAGGATCTGAACCCGGATGGAGGATGTAATGCACCATGTTGTGATCCAGACCCAGACCCAAGAATCTCACTTCCTCTATGAATATAGTAAGGAGATGACCCACTAGAAAATGCCATGGCTTCTCTGCCATCCATGCATTTACTCAGCAAAATGGAGCAATCACAAGGGTACAAGATCAAACCAGCAAGAAAAAATATGACTTATTTTTCTTTCCCTTCTCTGTTTAGTGGCTAAAGATTGTGTCTTTTTTTAGACCCCCTTCAACGCTAAATTTTGAATTTAACGAAAGATTGTACAAATTAGTAACTAAACTACAGAGCAAAGTGAGGTTTCAAGAGAAGGGTTTTACAAGGGTTTTTCTATAAAGAGTGCAAATGTTGGAAAGCAACAAAATTTCAAATCCTTAACTTGAGAGATGAAAAGATTAAAGAAAATGAAAACCTTTTTAGCCCTAAATCTTCAAAATCATAAACACAAAGGAATTCTGAAAGGTTTCGAAGAGGTCTAGCAGGAAAATCAAGCAAATCTAAGCAAGAATTCAATCTAAACCCACTAAACCTAGCGAGAAAATTATGTTAAACAAGCAAGAAATTTAACTTTCACAACCAGAGAAAACAGCTTATTTTGTGAACAAATGTTGAACAGAATTAGGAACAACTTTGAAAGTTACCCAAGCCAAAAAGGCTAAACAACTCAAATAGTCTTGAACCATGCCATAACAAGAAGAAAACCCTAGATTTGAAAATAATCTAAGGTGTTGACGGGGAAATGCAGGTGCTGGTAAGGAAAAGAGAGAGAGAGCAAGAAAAGACAAAGTGGGAGAAAGAGCAGAAAAACGAATTGAAAATTATGTGAGTTTTTGAATTAAAGACCTCCCCTTTGCCTTTCCTTTTCTTTATTGTTTAGTAGTCAGGTCAGTGTGTGTGAAGTAATGTGTTAGTGTATGTGCGCGAGTATTTTGACCAAAAAAGAGTGAGTGATTGACAGTGTTTTGTGTGGTGGCCTACCAAAGTACCAAACCTCACACTCGATGTCTTAATCAGATGACCACGAGTTAGAACAATAAGGCCCTCTCTTTCTTCTCTCTCTATATGTCTTTGGTGTGATGAGATGAGAACTTTCACTGGTTTTAGTTTCACTATTACTACTTTGATGTAAAACTGAGAGAGAGAAGGGAAAGGCAAGGAAATAATATTAGAAAATTGCGTTAAGAAAAGAAGGGAAGTTGGTGTTGCCAGGGGAAGGTTTGCCAGGTACAAGGAAAACGACATTTGGTTATGAAATTGTCTCGACAAGCTTTAAACATGTTACACGGGCCTGTTTAAGTTGAAAAGGGGCCTAATCATTGAGAAGAGGCCTCAGAAATTTGGGTTGGTGTTGCTATCAGCTAAAATAAGACATCAACAAATTGCAGACTTGACAATAGTCTGCCTCTGGCGGCTAGGCAGCTAGCCATATCGGTAGAATAGGTGCATGGTCCAGCCAGTCCAGGCAACCTTCTGAGTTCAAAGCATGAGATGTTTGAGGGATGATGATGTCTTAAATGATTAACCAGAGCTACTTGGCTACTTAGTGGATTCAAGTTGAACAAATCACCAAGTTTATGTTCATAGCACAGGAAGGTTATTCTTTTGTTCAACCAATGCATATATCTCATAGAAAGGTCCATCCTTCCAATAAGGTTGTCATTAAATTGCTTAAATCAAAATTTATGATTTAAAAGGATGCACTATGTGGACGTCCCTCACCAACAGAAATCTCACTGGGGGCAAAAAAATTCTCAGATTTGTGGACATCTTGGGGTGGGGGGACCTCCATTGGTTTGAGATTGGCACTCAAAGGCGTTCCTTTGCCGTCAAAAGCAGCAGATATTATTAACTCCAAAGGTTGAGTATGATCTTGAACCAGATCACATGCATCTCTAGATTCAAAGTGTTCCACGTACTGTGCTATATAATTCAAAACATGTCAATGAAAAAAATGAGAAATTTTATTGTCTCGCGAACCTGGAATCTTGAAACAGAACCTCAGTTGTTGACTGGTATAAATTGATCTAGCATAGCCTTGCTATCCCAAAGCATATTTTTGGCCTAACATACACCGTAGAAAATAGGGGAGAAAAGCACTTTTCAATGCCAATTAGAGGTCCCTTTTCTCATTCCCATTGCTTTTAATGCTGAACTTATGTCCAAGTAAGGTTAAATTGATGTCTTTGATCAAAGGTGAATGTATCTATTAAAAAACCATAAATCTCTTTAAGTAAAATTCATTTAAACTTGAAATTTTAATTAAAACTACCATAACCTGAATATTGGGTTATATTAATTTTTTTTTTACCTTTTTTTTATTTTTTTATTATCATGCATTTTTTATTACATTTTATTTTGTTTCATTTTATGGTTTTTATCTTATTTTGTTTTTATCCTTATCTGCTTCATATTTGATTTTAGGATTCTTTTTAATCTATTTCTTTTATTTTGTCATAAACAAAAAAAAAAGGAAAAATAAAATAAAAATTAATTGGACTACATAATTGTATTTAATTTGTAAGGGTACGATTACAAAGAAAAACATTACAATTGGAAATAAATAGGGACACAATCGAAACAATTAAAAGTTTGAAAATCAAATTGAGAGACATAGGGATATAATTGCAAGATTAAAGAAACCGGAGATCGAAATGATATGTCGAAGGGGTACAATTGCGAGAAATCTCGGACACGTAGGGACTAAAATTGAAAAAAATGATGAATGACATGACCCATTCGGAACCGGTCCAAACGACCGTTGAGCACTCGGCCCTATTCATCTCCTTCCACGGCTTCACCTACATACACAAGACAACAACGAATGAAGAGTTGGCACCGAGGTTTGGGATTCTTTTCCTAGGCTAATTGCTCATTGTACTACATTCCCAATCAAAAATTATAGTGTACCCTTCCCATATTCACGATGCACCGAACTCGCATAACACATATATATATATATATATATATATGTGTGTGTGTGTGTGTGTGTGTGTGTGTGTGTGTGTGTGTGTGTGTGTGTGTGTGTGTGTGTGTGTGTGTGTGTGTGTGTGAGAAAGAAGATAACAATAGAGGAGTTTGGATGATCTTGGTTGTAATGGGAAAGAACAAGATTAAGAGAAAGAGAATCAAATGATGGAGAGGAGGTGGGGCTCAAGTATAAATAAGGAATGAATTTCAATGTGTAACTCGACCTAAAAATAATACTTAAATTAAAAAAATGGGTTGGGTATAAAAATGGGACAATTTGACTACCCTCTTAATTTTTCTTTCTTTTTTCTTCTCTCTCACGCATTTCTCTCCGAATTTCGCCCAATTCTATTTTTCAATTGCAAAGCTAAGACTTTGTTAAATTAACTTAGAAACATTATAAACAAGTAGATTTAAGTGGAGCTTAGCTAGATTGAAGTTTGAAACGCTTGAATAGTAGGATTGAATTAGGGATTGAAGAGCAAATTGTCTAGGTCGAAATTCCATCATTTGATCTTTAAATTATGATGTTTATATGTAATTGTTGATGGATTTGAAGTTAGATTACGTTGGGTTGTTGTTTGAATGAAGAATTAATTAGATTAATGTTAGGGTTTTGAAACCCATTTAGGAAAAAGGTTGATTAAGTGATTGTAAGTGATTAAATTGCATTTAATTATCTAGGGTAAGTTGTTTATGAAGTTAATTTGAAGTGGAATGGAGTGAATTTGATTAATTTAGAGGTTGAAGATGATGAATATTGAAAAATCCAAATTTTGGGTTTTTAATCGAAAAGAATTTAAGGAAAATGGAGAATTAAGTTATATAAATGCAATTAAAGATGAATGGAATGAGTATTGAGTGCATTAGAACGAAATTGATGATTTAATTAAAAATTAATTGCTTAAAGGTTTGAATTGAAATTAAGAAAAGATGGTATGTATGAAGTTTGAATTGAATTGGAAATTGATGATGAATAATTGAGATTGATAATGGGATATTGTTCAACAATTGTTTAGAATTATTGGAGAGATTATCAAATTGAGTTAAAGTTATCGATTTGGGTCTTTCGATCAATTCCATTTGTATGGATAATCTTGTATTCCTATTTCTAGGATAATTTAATTGTTTTGAATTACTCTTTGATATATGATATTGATGGTTGTTCCATCATCATGTGTTATTAGATTCTTCGAGTGGGTAACTTCATCTTAACAACCTTGATTCCGTTCGATTCTTCGTTGTATTGTGAGTGGATATTATATAGTACATGATGCCTTTTGAACTTCTTTGATTATATGCTTATCATGCATCATAGGTTTAATTATATTTTAATCATATTCCTTAGGACTTAGATAGGAATAGACTCTTGTGTGCTTGAAATGATTGCATATTGAAAGTGATTTGATATGATTTAAAAAGGAATTTGAACAAGTGTTTTGTTTATGGTTTGATATGGAATTATGAATTTAAATGTTAATTTACTTTCAATTGTTATTTAATTATCTGTATAATTTTTGTAAATATTTATTTGATATGGAATAGTACTATCAAATGTGATTTAAGTATGCATTGTTTTTTATATATTGGATTTGAATATGTATAAGTTTATACGAGTTTTTTAAATGTTTTCGAGACCTTGGGAAGCCTAACTATAAAGATATAGCCTTTGAGCTCAATGATACTATTAGTGTAGGTGCCTAAGATCCAACCTTGTTTAGATGGGTTTGATTTATTATATTAATTGTATCATTTATATTGTTTATAATAAAAGAAGTCTTTCTATTAATTCTTGTCATTTACATTTATTCATTGATTAAAATTAGATAGAAATACCTACGATATGCATTTGCATTAGTGATTTATCGAAAGATATAAGACAAACACTAATGGATATAAATGATATCGTTAAATGTCCCAAGTCGTAGTATGGTCAAGAATGGACATTAACTATATACGGTTAGACTTGTGAGTACTATCCTCATACTATATAATAGTAGTATGATATCTCACACCTATTGGTATGATGATACCAAAGTAAGCACTTAGGTGATTTATGTTAGAGAATATATCGGTGGACTTGACTCATCATGAGAATCCATTTGGTTTAGTCTATATGAATCTCATACGCGATGGGTATAACCAATCCTTAGATTTGACGTCATCACCTTTATCTCATTAAAGGATTTATATACTTTGACACTTGTTTCAATGGACCTAGTAAAAGGTTGCATATGGGCTATTTGTTATGTACATTAGGAATCTAATAAAGGTATGTGAATGACTAAGATAGGATATGTCATTCTTTTTATGCTAAAAGATTTATCACATTGCACTTTGATGGATGTCTATTCAAGAAATCTATGGTCATAGTAGAAATACACTAATAGAGCATAGTTGGTTTACTCTAAGAGCTAAGACATTTAGGAATTAAAGAAAACTTGTGTGATCATGATCGAGTAAGACTAACAACCAAATTTGAGATCACACTATGATAAATTGACATGAGGATCTGAATTGTATGGTAACCATACTCGTGAAAGGTAATTAAGAATTAATTTATCCTCCTAGAGAATTAGATAGTCATGATGTCTTATTGGAGGTCAATCTTGACTTATGTATCAAGAGATAGAAGAGATGTCTTTTATTTTTGATACATTGCCAACATATCTAGGAGAGTATTAAGTCACACGTATAAGTTTAAGCATTTACATGGTTAAAGAGAAGCAAAGATGTTGAAAAAAGTTTTCAATTATGAAAGTTTCCTATTTTGGAAAAGGTTTTTAAAAATGAAAAGTTTCCTAAAATGAAAATTTTCTTATTTTAGAAATCAGTTTCCTAATTTAGAAGTTAGTTCCAAATTTGGAATGAATAACCTAAAATGAAAATTAGTTTCCTAATTTAGCTTTAAGGGTATTTTGAAAAATTATTTCCTAATATGAACCACCTAAAATTATCTAACTTAATTTATTTAGATAGTCCAAATTAATTAATTAAACCAAAATGTTTTTAGGCTAATAGGTTTAATTAAAAGCACTGAAAGATATTTTTATGGGAGGATAAACATTAACCATATTGGATAAAGATGAATGTTTTAAAGATAAAGATCAAAAAGTCCATATGCAAAAATGACTTATAATCCTTGGAGGATTAGGCGGAAACTATTTAGTGTCCTTTAAGGACTCATTGCCCCCCTTCTTGTAGGAAGCCTCTCCCCTATATATATGGGAGAGAGTTACGAAAAAAAGTAGTTTTAAAGAGAGAGAGAAAATTAGACACAACCAAAAAAGAAATTAGAGTACACGACTGAAAAATAAGAGAAGGGGAAAATTGTTTTCTTCCACCTTGCACGCTACTCTCTCCTCTCTCTCTTTGGGTTGTCGTAAACACCGCTACGATTAGATTTCTATAGGAAATACTAAAAAAGTCGAGAAAAGGTGGAGCTAGCACTCAATCAATTTTAAGTGCTTCTTTTTTTAGTGCTTGGACTGCGTGAATTATCGATAGAGGTTGGACAACTTAGATGGTTATTTTACGTGAAGGTTTAGATCCGCACTATAAGAGGTAATTCTCTATTCATCACTTTAATTCATAAATATATGGTTAGTTAATTTAACGATATGATCTTGGATCCTTTAAATGGAGGAAATTTTTGTTTTATTTCACACCTCTATATGATGCATGATCCTTCAAATACGAGGCTCCAACTAGGAGGAAAGGTAAAATGATAGCCCATGTGTTGGCTAACATACGAAAACGAGGCATGACCTTTGGGTGTTCTCATCCAATGATACATTATATTCAGCCCACGGGTAAATAAAAAACCTAGATATGTGATTGAACTTGATTATGATATATATATATATATATATATATATATATATGACACACACACGTTTTGATGATTTGATATGATATGGTTTTAAACTATTTAAGTTGTGATGTACGATTTGATTTTATGATATGCATTCATTTTGAAGAAATAAGCATGGCATCTGATTCGAATTTTAAGTTATCATCCTTAGTTAGTTTTCCTTCTTTAGATGTGCTATATAGTATCTACTTACTAAGTCGTTGATTTTCTC